GGGTCAGAATTTCGAAATGTTTGTTAAATATTTATGAAAGCCATACTCTTGGGAGGAACATTCAGCTATGAATGAATGACGCAACAATAGTTTTCGCTCAGATATAAAATAGAGAAGCTCGAGGCGTGGAAATGGAGAAGTTTCAACGATGCTAATTTGCACAGTCGTCATTTTGTCATCCAAGCTTAGACGTCCTCATGAATGTTTTAGTACATTTCTCAAAAAATAATCAACACATACAAGAAAAAAGTAAAAATATCAATAAAATATTTGTCTGCAAACAAAACAATCAAGCATGATATAAAAACGCGTTTTAGAGATAAATTCACATTTTGTTTGCGAATAAACTATCTTTTATATTACTTCGCAAAACCTATCAAAATGCGCGTCCTCAAATTATCTTTACGAATATATAAAGATAATATGCCCACCCTTATATGTCTTCTTGTTATTAGCGCGGAAATGCAGCTGATTTCTTGAAATGTTGCAAGATTGGGAGTCGATATTTAAAAAAAAAATCCCTCTTTTATTTTACTTTGTTCAACTCCCCTTGGCACTTTGCAGTGACTTCAAGAAACTTGTAGTGGCCAAACATTTAGTAACATATGACCCCCAAACGGAAAAAGCTATGACAAACCTTCACTCGGACCGATCCGATGTCTTCGTTATAGCGGCTGTGCCGCATAACGTCGCCTTCATAAAAGCGTCAAAAGCTAGAAAGCGGGACTCTATTTAGGGAGCGGAAAGTTCTGCTGTTCCGAGCATTGCTTTTTCGTTGTGTGGCCATACTCCCCCCACCTTGCCCTCTTCTTCCCCCTCCTTATCACGAACAAAAAAAGAAACGCCTGCGAACGCCACTGCTGGCGGCAGTTACGAATCGTAAGCACATCACATTACCTTGAAACACAAAGCTAAATACGTGCAGAGTCAGTTACGGGAAAATAAGGCGAGAGTAGTTGCAAAGGAAAATATGGAGGTCAGTTAGTCAGGAAGCATTACAATCTAAGCATTGAGACTAGGAAAAACAGAAATAGCGCACACTACAAAACGAAAGTTCAAACGCAGCTGAGCTTATTCACAAGAAGAATGATAATAACTGCATGCCCACGTAGAAATAAAAAAATAAGGAAGATAAGACATATGACCGCAAAGGCTTGACTGAACTTAACCAGACAAACTAAATCCCTCCAAGGTTAAGGACAGCAACGGGAATGGGTACTTCTCCCAAGGACCTAAACAGATAAGTTTCACCACAATATGTGAAACGTCCGAGACAGAACCCCTAACACACCTCTCTTTTGGTTATTACCGTAACCTCCTTTTCCAACACACACACACATACGCACACACACACACACACACACGTACTTACACACACACGCGCGCGCGCGCACGCAAGCACGCACACGTACACGTACACACACACACAGACACACACACACACACACACACTACACTCCAACACCGAAAGCCCAAGAAACATTACAATAAAAGAAACATTACAATAATAGAAACTTCTACAGGGTGATTCAAACTAAAGACAGCTGACTATCGCTATGCTTGCAGGAGACTCGGTGTCTTTGGCGCTCAACAAGTGGAATTAAAACAACCAACACCAACTTAACTGCGCGCGACGCACCGATTATATCTACAAGAGAAGACAGATGTTGATAACCACAAGAGCATTTTCTTTCGGAACTCTGACCGGATATTTTAAGCCGGGAGAGAGGATTTCAGAACCTCTCAAATAGGCGTTTTGGCGGACGTTTCCAGTTCTGCCATTTACGAAGCGAGTAAGAGACTAGTGTCAGGTTGAACAGCCTTGGCCCAACGATTCAGCACAGTGAGACTGTTCTGTGTGGACTATAAACGGGAACTGAATAACAAAGGTAAAGCGACAAGCGCCTCGTACCGGTAGGGAGGCTCAACAAAGTGCGGTTAAAAAAACTACGGGCTCCACGGACAGGGAGTGAATCTGAACTTTTATGCCAACATTGCTACAAATACCTCCAGAATGAGATTGCTCTCCTCACAACGTAAGGACATGAAACTCTTCTTTCCGGGACTCTGATGAAATTCTGACGAAGTGCGTAAAGACTTGTGTGCTGCTAGTCAATCGGTAACTCCATTGAAACCCCGTAAAACTACAAAAAATGCGCGAAACTTATTTGAAGAAAAAACAAGCTCAAGCGAGTTCTTCATTAAAAAGAAAGCTGTCGAGCGTTTATGACGTGAAAGCCGGCGAAGACAGTTGTGAGCACTTCGCGGTGTGGTTTGACACATTCCGCTAAGCGCTGAAGGCATGTAGTTCCCACCAACAACGCATGCGATTGTACGCGCTTCTGTCACTAAGCGTCTAGAAGAAAATATATTGCGTTTGATACCGAAAGCGACTGCCTACATGATAGATCAAACAAAAAACTGGAGCGTAAAGGTGGTGTATGTGCAACCCGCGATCCCTACATGGAGAGAAAGGCGAATTCCGAAGGCGTGAGGGTTGCGCTTGAGTACTACACATGCGACGACCTCTCATGCTCCGTTCAAAGCCCCAACAAAGAGGTTGTCGTCAAAGTCATGATCAACAAATGCAAGAGCAATGTCGTAAAAAGATTTTTGACCCTCTTTATTAAGGAAGCTTACCAGCTGTTTAGGAAGGACCAGCCCCATCGAAAACTAGGCATCTCTAAATTTTGTAACCTACGACCGAAATGGGTAAAAACGAGTCCTAAACACGAGGTGTATTCCGTCTATTGTCAGTTGCTTTTAACGGCAATGAAAAATGTCCCAAAGAAGACATTTACTGAAGACGACCTCAAGCGCATCTACCTCTGCTGTGCTCCACAGATTGGTTCCTGCGCCGTTGCAAAATGCCAAAAAATGCAGAGCATATCGCTGCAGTCGCTTCATCTCGACGAAACAAAGAGATCTGTTTCGCGTTATGGGACGCCGGCGAACTCGTCAAAAAGGTTATGAATACTTCCGCCTTCCTGCGGGAAGTGGAGTCATGGAGCGAAACGTATATGAGGGATTCTTACATCCATGAGCTTCAGCAAAGCCTAATACGTGACACAAGAACCGCCTTACCACCCAATGCAGTGATGTCCCACTTCGATTTTGCGGAAAATTGGACAGTAATCTTCCCAAATGCAGAAAGCTGCAGAGTTCTTATTGGAAAAACAAACTCAAGTGTCTCTCTTGAGATGTGTAACTGCGTCCACGCAAGACACGCAAAGCTTTGCTGTAGTCAGCGATGACGCAACACATGGCACAGTTCACGCTCTTCTGGCCACAAAGGGCATAAAAGAGTATGTTGATGAACATTACCCAGTCTTTTCTGAAATAATTTTAGTGTCAGACGGAGCGGAGCGGCCGCGCATTTCAAGAATCGCTTCCATTTGCACGAGTTGTCTCGGAAGCCGAACTCTTCAACAAGATGTATCTTTTCAGTCACTGGACACGGAAAAAGCGCTTGTGATGGAGTAGCTGGTGTTCTTAAACACCACGCAACGCTCACAAACTTGCGATGTCCGCTTAACTCAACTGCCACCGCTAAGGACTTTGTGGAAGGGCTGCGTGAAAAAGTAACAAATGTCTGCATGTTCCTTCTCTTTGCGGAACGGATTCGACGGTCCCATGCGGTGAAGCGAGCAGAGTGTATTACCGTAAAACCTGTGAGGGGAATCCACACCTCTAATTTGTAGAAGCCAATGTAAGCCGAGAGATTGGATGCATACATGACCACTTGCGCAACTGAGAGTTTTAAGCTTATATGCATAGTTAGCGAATTTTCAGAGTGAAATGTGAATTGCAGAGTGAATTGTGAATTGTAATGGGAATGTTAGAAATACGAATTGCAGAGTGCATTTTAATTGTAATCTAAGTAATGGTATTCCAGCTCAAAGCCCCTTTTCGCTTCCGTTATACTCAACCATTTTGAAAAAAAATTAAAAAAAATTAATGATACATGCCATAACTGCCCCTCAAAATGGTTGGTGGTGTGCGGCACGGCCGCTATGACGAAGAAGTCGGCTCGCTCCGAGTGAAAGTTTGTCATAGTTTTTCTCGTTTGGAGGTCATATGTTACTTAATGTTTTCCATCACAAGTTAGTTCAAGTCACTGCAAAATGCCAAAGGGAGTTAAAAAAAAGGTGTTTCCTTTTTTTAAAAATTTCGACGCCCAATCTTGAGGCATTTCGAGAAATCAGTTGCATTTCGGCGTTAATAAGAAGATTGTAATTAACGGTGGGTTTATTAGCGACATATATTCGTAAATAATATTTAGAGACGCGCATTTTGATATGTTTCGTGAAGTATTATAAAATATGATTTATTTGCAAAAAAAATTGTGAGTATGTCTCTAAAACACGTTTTATGCCATTTTTGATTTTACTTGTTTGCATAGAAATAATTTATGGATATTTTAATTGTTTGTGTATGTGTTGTTTGTATCTTGTAAAAAAATTAAACAAGTTAAGGTGACGTGAAAGCTTCCATTAAAAATGACCACTGTGCAAATTAGCATCGGGAAATCTTCTCAATGTCCATGCCTCAAGCTTCTTTATTTTATATCTCAGCGAAAACAAATGCTACGGCGTTCATATATAGCTGAATGTTCCTCCCAAGAATATTGCTCTCATATATACTTTTAATAAAAATATATCAAAATTATGTCCCGGAACATAGTATTGCACGAACTGACTTGGAATCACACGGTGGTTGGTTTGGGTGAGCGAGAAATAAATTCACATATTATTAATTTAATGTCACTTCCCAATAGTAATGTAATAGCGACAAATTTTTCATCGAACGCATTTCAGTATTTTACTAACAATGGCAAGTCAGCCCAATTTTGTATATTTGAATGTGTATATATTTGTATTAAATCATGTTGCTGTTTTTCACTAGTAATATATTCAATTTGTCAGTATAGTCACACATTTAGTACTGCCACTTGTTCTTAAAGCAGTTAAAAAGTGTGATAAAATATATTTTGGTTTCAGACGAAAACGAAGAGGTTTTCTCAAAAGGCTCCTCGACGCAAAGTTCAAGTCAGTCAACACCTGCATCAAAACGTTCATCTGAACAATCTGCAATACCTTCTGAAACTTCTTCAACTGAAGAGCAATGGACTACCACTTACGCGAAGACTTATGCAGTCACCAAAAGCAGAAACATGGCTCAACAGGAACTCAATTCTTCCATCACAAATTCAAAGCCAGCTACTCTTGAACTTACGTTATCCAAAAACACTTCAACTACCCCATTGATGCAATACGAAACACCAAAAGGCGAAGCTTTAACGCATGTAACCATGAAGCAAAATTTAAAAATTACCACGGTTGCTGATACAGCACAAAACAGCATTGGTATCGCCTTGGTAAGCAAAGAGCCCGACTTTACAACTATGCCATCAACAGAAGAAAATGTGTCAGAAAAACAATGGAATCTTTATTCACCATTAAACAACCTAAGAAGTACTGTAAAGGAGGTATGGAACACACATAAATCTAGCGCCCAAGCTGCGTCAACAGAAAAAAGACAGGTCACAGAGGAAGGCAAGGAAGCTAAGAAAATGACTTCTGCGCATTCAGAAACCTCATCTTCATATGACTTTTCAACAAGTCCTCAGGAACGTGGTACTGAGGGCGTAACACTGCAGGTCACAGAAAACACAAAGGAAGAAGGAGGGGGCCTATCTACGAAAAAAGATGTCCACCCGAAAAACGCAGATATTTCAGAGGCAGTCACACAAGGTAAACCAACCGTTACTGAAAAAGTAGAAAGTAGGTATGAATTAACAACTTCGTTTACCTCAATACCTGCTTCAGAAATTGCACACACACATCGACCTTCGCATGCATCAACCTTATCGAGTGATTTGCCTCCAACTGTAGAAAAATCCACCACCAGATATCAAAATGACGAACTCGCTACACAAGATAAAAAAATTTCAACTGAAGTATCAGCATCAGGTGAACGTATCGCCTTACCCCAACCATTGACTACTGTCACAGAAAAAACAAACCTTGCAACACTAAAGCAAATTTTCAGCACTTTGTCCGCAGCTGAAACGGCTGGTGTGGAAGGTTCTTCGGGAAGAAAGAGATTGGCACTAGAACGCACAACACACTCGTTAGAAGCAAGTGTTTCAATCTCTTCGGGAGAAAAAATTGCGATAACTCCGTTCACATCAATTGCACCAAGTAAGTCTCGTAAAACAACACTAAATCCAAACCTAGTTATATCAACGACTAATGATTCAACATATACAACTCATAAATTGAAAACCGCTGTTGAACAGTCTTCTACTAAACCATCAGTTTTGGTTACAACTAATTACTTTGGTTCATCAAAAAACCTTTCTTTAAAACGTCACGCCACAACTGAATCACGTCCACTGAATATAACTACAGAAGGTATCCCACAAGAACTAGCAAAGGGTTTTGACCTGACGACTAATATTTTTGTAACAACACCGAGTGACATCAGTTCTACTATAAACACAGCTCAATCGCCTTCAGCTAATCATCACATAAAGACGCACACTACTGTGTATTCACCCAGTGAAACGCTCTGTGGATCAAGTTTCTGCGGATCAACAGATTCAAACACGCAAGTTCACAAATCCAGGAGCACCTTGAATGACCGAATCGGAAATCTCGAGAGATCAAGTCCTAAGCCAGCCAAAAGCCAGTCAACAGCAACCTCCTCGAAATTAACAAACACAAATCATCCAGGAGTTGAGGTGACAGAAGAAAACTTCCCTGTTGATGGAGCAACTGAAAAAAGCGAGAACCCTATCCCGCATGAGAAGGGAGGTAAGTGACCGAGATTGGGTAAATTTTAAGACCCGAAGTCAATAGAAACGTAGAACTAGACACTTTTGTGGGGTGCACACAGTGAATCTTACACTGTAATACAGGTCAAAGAAATTGGCTCCTCCAGATAGGGAACTCAAACTTTCACTGAATTCGCAATGCGATGGTACACTGTACCTTGGGAAATTTCAAGGCGTACTACCTTCCCTGTTAAAAGTGAAATCAACAAACTTGTTAAAATCTGCGACGGGCGTGTTCGTGGACGACCTAGTAATGTTGGCACACAGATTATAAAAGTAACATTTTGTGCCATCTCCCGGTAGGCACAGAGAGTACACGATGCTGTCTGTTTGCTCGCAGTGCGTATCTGTATATGACGCAACAAGTTCTTTTGAGTGCTTATTCGGTCGTCTGCAAACACGCCCGCCGTTAACTTTAGCAAGCTTGTTGGCCTTATGCTTTACAAGAAGAGAACTGCGCCTTGAAATTTTCTAGGTAAAATGCATCACATTAATATATATTTGATGAATATTCTAGATTTCTGTAATAAGGCGCCGATTATTCTGGTTCGTTTTACAACGTAGGATCCACTAGAGCGAGCAGTATAAGAACACCGTTGTTCAAATTTCACTGTTCAAATGTCGTAAAAAGATATTTTATTCGTTATCATATTTGCTCAATCTTTTATTTTTAGTTTTAAATGAACGGCTATAAAATAACAATATCACTTTGATGTTCATAAGGCCTGCCTAGAAAAGTGATAATTTACCGGTTTGAAATGTGCGATGTTCCACGTTAGATTGTTTCCACATCAGATTCTGCAATGATCCTGATCATATATTTTATATTTATGTGAAAAAAAAATGAAATACGTTTACAACTTCCTGCAATTCCGAATTAGAGCGCAGCTCTTGAGGAGGAGGAGAAAAGGGTACGGAGGGGATGTGTGCCCCTCCTCATCCGCACCCTCTCCTCCCCTCCTCATCTACTTCTCCCATGCCCCTCGCTTCCATCCTCTCTTGCTTCTCCTCTTCTCCTCCTCCTTCCTCCTCCTCCCTCTTTCTTCTCCCTCCTCCTCACTCCTCATTTTCCCCCTCCCCTCATCCTTCTTCCTCATTCCTTCTCTTCCGCTCCTCCCCCTCCATCCTCCTCGCTCCCGCGCGGCGCATTATGGGAAACGTCCCATAATGCAACAAGCGCGTCACCGCGGTGCATTATGGGACATTTCCCATAATGCACCGCGCGGTTACGCCGACGACGACGGCGACGGCGACGGCGACGCCGACGCCGCTCACGCTGGAAACGGGCGCCTGAGAGCTGCGCTCCAAAATAAATGTCAAAGACATTGGAGGAGCATTCATCTATTTGCGGAAGCCGTAGCTCATTTTCTTCTGGATATATAAACTTTTGAAGCTCAAGGCCTTGAGATTGCCAAGTTTTCGCTATAGTACGTTGCACAGCCGTTAATTTCGCAACGCAGAGTGAACGTAGTAAATACTTTTCAATTTATTTTATGAAGGGTTTAGTACACTAAACATAATAATAAAATTGCAATAAACGATTACTATGCAAAAGAACTTACGAACCAAGTGAAATAAACACGTTTTATAGACCCAAGTACAAATTATGCACCAACAAACTACTTCATTAAAGGGACGAACAATTTACCAAGATAATCATATCTAAATTCATGTTACAAATATATACGTAAAGAACATTAATAACCCTTATTTTATTTCTGTTAATAATGCAGACACGGAGCTTATTTCTGTAACCTTGCAAACTTGCACATCAATAATGAAAAAAAAAACTATTTTCTTAAAACGCTCCCCATCCGCTCTCAGTGACTCAAACTAACTAGTCATGGCACAATGTTTGGTAACGTATGACACTCTTAAAACGAAAATGACAACGAACCTTCGCTCAAATTTAGTTTGCTTGTATTCGCTATAGGCGATTTTCCGCACGGCGTTGGCTTTAAGGAGACAATGCGGGTTCTTGGGCGAGTTGGTACTGAAACTTCGAGCTGCGGGGATTGATGTGTCAGCGTGGCGTCAATCGATTTGGGCGATAATGAGACATAGTTCTTGCAAGCATTGGTGTAGAATGGGATTGATTGAATGGTGCGATGATGCAGAGCATTTATACCCTTCATTTTCTGACAATTAAACCAGTTGAAGTTAGCGCATTCTGTTCTCATTTTCCCACTCTCGTCCCTGTCGTGAAGCGCTATTATGTTCTCAAAGTTCAAAGAGACATGTCTTACAAAGGGCAAAGGTTGCACAGCATGGGTGCTCTATCATAGGGTTTAGCAAGTCATACTGACCCTAGCTTAGTTAAATGTTTGTGTTTCCTTACGTTGCCCCCTAACTCTCGCCCCCCCCCCTCCCTTCCCTGGCCTTTTGCTCACAAAGGACTTTCAGAGAACGCCACTACTGCCGGCAGTTGAGAACTGTATGTACAGCTAATTACTGAAAAGCACAAACCCTTAACGCCAGAAAGTACTATCTCTCCGAATACAAGGCAAAAGAAGTAGTATCTGCAGAGTCTGTATCTTCGTGTTCAGCATTGTGTGCCGACGAACCAGCTTACCATTTCTAGGTATCCTTGCGCACCATTAAATGCAATTACAATGGAATACAGATAGAAGTCAATAAGCACAAGGATTTTCGTCTTCGGTGTTTCCATGTCAGTTGGCACAATGATTGTTTTTTTCTATTTTGCATATTTCTGTACAAGACAAACTATAGGAAAGTAATTTCTTTGTGAGAAGCACCCAGCTATACATAACCTCTTTTACGAAACTCAGCCCCAATCGTTTCTGTAAAAAGTACGCATCGCTCACAAAAAGGGTTGATTTCATATTGGTTCCTGTCTAAGGGCAAATTTAAGAAAGAAATGAGCGTTTTGTACAATAGGGTAATAATTACTGTTAGTAATTAACCCTGTTGTTAAAAAGTTAAAGGTCTAATTTCAGTTAAAAAAGGGTGGACATGATAGAGCACTAATAAATCTACACATATCACGGAAATATTTCTGCGGAGCATTTTACGGCACTCCCTAAAAACACTCAATTTGGATGGCTTTTGGGGAAAGTGGAGACCTTAGGACGCAACGCAAGGAAACAAAACACAAATATGAAGCCAAAATGGGGACACCGTAAATGTTTACATGCTACAATAAAGCAGCACCGCTGTACTTTAGTATGTTCTAGAAAATGTCACTGGAGCCAACGTCGTGCGGCAAAGCCCTTATAACGAACACAAGCTCCTTAATCTGAGTGAAGGTTGGTTGTCGTTTTTCCCTTAAAGAGGTCACATGTAACTCAATATTTTGCCATCAGGAGCTGGTTAGACTCACTCTAAAAAGTAAAAGAGTCTCAAGAAAATAAAAATAGGGGTACTTATTTTTTAGCATAGGCGCGCTATACTGCCGAATTTATGAAACTGAGCTGCGGTTCTGCATTAATAACAGAAGTACTCTAGTGGGTAATCATATTTTTGTTTTATATTCTTACGATACATTTGAAGACGACTAATTTTATTTAGTTTGATTTTTTCTAAAAATTCGTTCATTGATAAATACTTTTTGAACGTTTTTCTAGAACGTGTTTATTTTGCATGTTTTCTGAAAACTGGTAAGCCTTTCATAAACTAAATTAAAACAATTTTTACAACATAGATGATTTGGTGTGAACCTGGTGACTGTGCGAAGTCCCCTAGTGAAACCTTAGCAGTCTTCCCTCCTCTAGCGTTGAAATTTTATATATCCATAAGAAAATTAGCTACAGCGTTCGCATATAGTTGAATGCTCCTCCCAAGAACATGGCTTTAATATATATATTTCCGCAACTATAAAAAATGTTGCCCCAATCCTTTTTGCACAACCTATTGTGAAAACGCCCAGTACTAGGTTTCGTTTCAGAATAGTCCTCTCACACAATTGGGTAAGCCGCTACTTTATCTTCAATCTCTAAGGTTGCCAATCCTTCAATTCATTTATTTATTTTTCCGCTTTTTCTCTCCTTTGTCAAACTTTATTTGTACGGCTAGATGATTCCGCATGAAGATTACTTACGGCGTCTCCATGTAATTTTCATTGCATACCTCTGCTGTTGAGTTTCCGATCTGTTCACAAAGGATATAGTTGTTTTGTAAACTGTATCGTGAAAATCGAGAACATAAGAAATAAGATGATAAAAAAGGAATGGAGTTTACACTTCTCTGTAAAACGAAATAAGAGGGCAGCTCTTGAAGTATTTTGATTCGAGCATCGGTCTCGCCGTTGCCGTCGGCGTCGCAGACGCCGACGTCGACGTTACTGCATGGTGGAACGAGCGCCGTCAGGTTGGCCTGTGTCAACAAGGTATGGGGATTGGAGGGCTGTTACCGGTCACGTGCCAATTTTCCCGCTAAATTTAGCGGGAAAGCTGAATTTGTGTGTAGGTTTAGCGACATCAAGCCATGTGCCGTCATTTGCCCTGCTAAATTTATCACAGAAAGTGAATTTGCCTTCAGGTCACGTGACATCGTGTGAAGTAAAGTCAATTTGTCCGCTAAATTTAGCGGGGAAACTGAGTTGATGGCGAGGTCATGTGATGTAAATTTTTTTATTAAATCTAGCGGTGAAGCTGAATTTGTGTATAAGTCATGTGACACGAAATCATGTGACGTCTTTTTTCTCGCTATATGTAGCGGGGAAAATAAATTAATGTGTAAATCACATGACATAAATTCATATAAATATTTCCCTGCTAAATTCATCGGGGAAACTAAATCCGTGGTTAGGTCAGGTGACGTCAACGTTCCCGCTAAATCTAGCTGGGAGAACTGAGTTTGTGTAAAGGTACCGTGTCTTAAACTCAAATGAAGTTATTCTTGTTGTTGAGGTCACGTAACCTTAATCTTCCTGCAATATGTAGTGGGCAAGAGGCCTTATTGATGGGCCGAAGTTACGGCGACGCCGACTTCGATGCCGCTCTATGCGTAAACGGCCCTTAAGAGCTACACTCTAAAAAGCGATTGGCCTTCAGCTGCCAGGTATTTAATCTCAATTTAAGCAACAAGAAACGCCGGGGTCGATTGCAATGTCTCTTGACTTCGAGATAAAACGCAGGAACTAAGACGATCCGCGTTTTGGAAGGAATTCCAATGAATCCTTGTCAAGCATGAAGTGACCGACGGGTAGCGATAAACTCTTTGCTAATATATGCCAAACGCTTTCCGGATAGCAACGTCACGTACTGTAGGTAAGCACTGATGCCAAATCGAAGATGCGTTGTCAAATATAAATCGCTACTTTGTTGTTTTTTCTCCAGATGTAGCCACTTACCTTCACTTTGTACTAAATACGATGCGCCACCTGAAATCCCATCAAAAGAGCCTTTCGTTTTTGTTTTTTGCAGTATCTCCTCTGACCGTTTTCTTGGGAGCCTTGATGTCGTCCATATTCCTTGTTTCTCTAATCGCCGCTACAAGTACCATATTAAGGTAAATATCTTGGTGTGTAACACTACAGATTGCACTTCCCATTCACACACGAAATTCCCAATAGTTGAAAAAATGAGCTATAGGAAGTATAAAATTGAATATTAAACACAGAAAATGAAAAAAATTTAAAAAGAACGACCACGTACTTCGAAAGAAAAAACAGTAATTAATTTTTAGTGTGACTAATCCTATAATTCTTTTTTTTTCCTTTAATATGCAGAGCCAAAACTTTGAATAATGCAATCTTGTTATTTTGTTACCAGGCAAGGGCTACGGTGACGATCTCACTGGCACGGTAGCATACAATAGACCCAGTTAAAAAAATTGAGTTGAAAGGTTTCTTCTATCTTTTTATAGTATTTTGTGTATTGAAAACTAGGGTGTCAATGAACACATCTACCACAGCACGTATGTTTATAATGCGACAAAAAAGAACGGCAGGTCAAAATCCTTCAAAAGTTCTTTATAACAAATTTAATCGGAAAATCTATTGGCTAGAGTTTCTGCTGACATATTTTCCCTTATTCTAAGTGATTAATCGTCCGACCGAGCTTCGAGCATGACTTGTGACCCTATGATCATACAGAAATAAAATCAAACCAGTAGGCATTACTCTTTTATACCGCTTGTTAAAACAATATGATTGTTGCCAAAACGTGATTCGCTTCTTTAGATGCGTTGTTTATAGAGTTTGATCTCAAGGATGTTTTTTTGTGTTTGACCATTGTGACGCTATCGTCGATGGTCGTCCGTTAGCAATCTTGGATTAGGAAATTAACAATTTCTTTTTTCGCTTAGCATTTGAAGCTCTTATATGCTACCATCACAAACATCAGCAATCATGTAATGTAGAAGACGCGTGGTTACACGACAGCTCTCAAAAATTTGAATACAGAGATTTCCAGTTTTAGAAAGAGACTGAAAATCGGGTCGTACATAAATTAAAGGACGTTTTCATACAAACCATAACCGGACGGATTCCACTGCTGCCGTGGCCTCAATTTAAAGACAGCCTGAAAGGAAATATTGCAATTAGAATGCTTACATTCCAATAGTTTATTGATGTATAGTTTAAAGTTGCAAGAATTACATTTGATTACGTTTGCAGGTCAAGGAAGAAGAAACAAACTTCCCGGTCCTCGTACGACTAGGTAATAAACCTTCTCCATGAATGTCACAAGATCTAAGTACGTGGATTTCTAATTAGAAAAGAAACCGCCAGAGGAAGCACCTCGAAACTTATAGAAAAATAATGTATACCCGTCACAATATTAAACTGAGGGTCGTTTCTAAAGATTAAAATATTTGTATAAAAAAATCCGTTAACGCTACACTAATGCGGTTTGTGCATGTGCGTTCTACGGCAAGGGAGACGTAATATAGGCGGCTAATCGTAACGATAAGTCGGATAATTAACTAAAATATATTAATTGATATTTTGATTATTGAAAATAAACATAGTTTTCTAATTAGAAATTATCTGAGTATCATAGAAAATAACTAAATCAGTATTAGAAACAGTTGGAGCACGTGGGAAGCACGGTGCAGCGCTAAAGTTACCGCTCCTGCAGCAAGAGGAAGGCTACCACAGCGCGCCCGCGAGGTTTTTCGTTTTATCACGACCCCACTTTATGCCAGTTGCACGAGTGGTACATTTAGGGCACTTCTGTGCTTCCCACGTACTCAGTGTTTCCAATGCTTCAGTGATTTTCGATGATGCTCTCCTTGTTTCTAATGGGGACCATACGTTTATTTTCCATATCTCAAAATATTTATTGAAAACAATTTTTTTTACTTAGTACTAAAATATATTTCTGAAAATCTTTTAAATATATTACATTTGAAGTACACGTCATGCGTTCTGAAATATGCAAATACTAATTTAGTGGGCACAAAGTACTTTTCACATCGATTTTTTTTTAAATATTAATTTATTTCATTCAAAATATGCTCCAACCCTAATAAAAAGGCGGCGACCAAAAATATGTGCAGAATACTCTTAAATATCTAGAAGTTGTAAATACTGTTGTGTTATCTCTAAGTATCTTTTGACGGCAATACTTTGCTAATCTGGCTTAAACTAGCAAAGCATTGAAAAGCTTGTCTATCAGAAGTTCAGTTCAAGCAGATGTGGAGTACGCTGAAGTACCTGAATACAACATTTGATTAGTTTGTCAAACGAGTTGTGCAGCATCGCACTGATAAATCAGCGCAGTTTATGTTATTGTTTTCTTTTTTCTATCGAACACACGCCCGATGAGTTTCTTGCACATCAATCACAAACGGTTTTCGGGAACTACAACCACAACACTTGTTGATACTGCAAAGATTCAGCAATTGCTGCGAGCAGAAATATTTGGCGTTGTTGTGCTAGCGCTATGTTAGTTCACTCAATGTATGTATACTCACCATTGTACGTGATGCAGTCTTGTACACGTTACTAAAAAAAGTAATCGATTACGATTACTATTACTCTAGGCTAAAAAGTATTCGATTATATTACTTGATTACTCGACAGCAAAAGTAATTGGGCATTACTTAAAAAAGTAACCGTTACTTTTCCGATTGCTTTATTGTGTGAAGACATATCTTTAGCGCTCATAGCAATGAACTACTTCCAACCTCGAAACCTTGCTTTTCACAAAGACCACGTAGGGGAAATACGTGGTCTTTGTGACCACGTATTTGTCTAAAATACGTGGTCTTTGTCTAAAACACATCAAATTGATGTGTTTTAGACATTCTTCGGTTCTGGTTTTCCTATGGGCTGCGAGTTGGTACCATAGGCAGGAGTTCTTACATTTCTGTGCGTGTGTGTGTAAGGGGGCTAGCTGGAACGAAGGACTTGCTTAGCTACATTCCGCCCCCTCAAACTTCGCCCTGAATGGCCTTTGTCACGCACTGCGGCTTCCATGGGGCTCCCCAAACCCAGTCCCAGCTCAAAAAAAGGACGTCTTACGGAAATTATACATACAAAGAGGTTGACCTTGTTTCCTACATATCCGCAAAAATCTTTTTTTTTTCTGTTCGAAAAAGAAGCAAATTTTATTTTTGTCTTTTCAGAAAAAAACAAAGGTGTGAGCGGGGGGGGGGGGGGGGGGGGGGATTCCTGTGAAAAAACAGTAACGGTCAGAAGTAATTTTTATTACTTCAAAAAGCAATCAGATTGCTCTCGTGATTACTGTCTAATAAATGTAATCAACTGATTGCAAAATTATTCCAAAAGTAATCGATGACAAGTGATTCGATTACTTGTAGTGCGTATGGTACAACTCTGATGTGATGTGAGTAGTGACTTTTATTAGTGACGTTAATGACCGTATTCAATAGTCGACTAGTAAAGAAAAGCAAAACAACCTTTTTAACGTGAACAAACTGCCTTGACTCGCTTCATCCCGAGTGGTGCTATGCAGAGGTACAAAAACATTCCTTCTAGAAGCCGTTTTTGTGGATATTGTTTTAGTGACTGCGCCGAATAATTATTAGTTGTACCAATGATCTTTCTAAGAGATATCGTCCACGAACTTCAAAACACTGTTTTCCTTTCGACAGACTGCCAAGGAGAAGATCGAATACTTGAAACCTTAATAAGTGCAGAGGTGGTCACCGGCCAAGTGAATACCTTCAATATGTAGGCTATTTAAGGCTCTGGAGCAGTCAACCAGAATGTGATTCAGGTGTTCGGTGCATCATGGTGCTTGTGTTAGTGTTCGTTCCTAATGTGTTGTTGTGGGATGTGTGTGTAGTACCTTCAAATACTACAAAAACCTATTCACAAAATCCCAAATAAAAAAGAATCGTGTAACCGGTTTTTAATACAGAATTGGCATCTTGAGAGGGAAACATATATTTTGGGGTATATCTAACATCTTTTCTGGTTCATATTTCTGGTATATTTATAATGCCTTCCGCGCGTATTTAGAATGTGGACAAAGTAATAGAGAATTAATACAAAATAAATAATCATATTCAATATATTTCAACTATGTTTCAAGTACAATCTCTATTTGCTAAACGAAGTTCTAGAGAAGTTTCAAAAGATTTTAACGTTCGAACTTTTACTTCTTGTGCGAGGAACTCTTGACGAAGAAATAAATTGTACCATGAAATTGAACGTGTGCAAGTCAATCGAATAACACGAAAAAAAATGACTGGTCAATTGACGATTACGAGCACTGCAACTAAACAATCGAGGCCAAGTACTCGCACAATTTATGCTGTCGGTTCGGCCGCGAGACAACTTCATAGCGTAATTTGGGGGTTCCATTCACTTGATAAAATCCCGCAGTGCACGTTGAAACCTCAAAGGCGCTGCGCAAATTTGTAATTTCAGGAACTTGTTTATTTGTTATTGTTGTTTTTGTTTTTTTTACGCAAACCTCCTGTCAACAGGAAGGTCGCGCTCAACCTTCATGTAATTGTCAGCTTTGACATGCGATATCTGAGCTATTTATCTAAACGTCGCATATTAAAAGCTCGAATTCGGCCGCCTATCTTGCGATAAATATACCGTAGGCTCTGAAACCTTGCGTCATACATGTCTTACTCAGCTGCCCGAGAAGTAGCGCAAAGCTTTTCTTTGGATTGCATATTTCTAATGCTTGGGTAGATGAAACCATAAGAACAAGTTATAACCTTTATATGTTTCCTACCCAGATAAAGCAATATTTATATAGGAATAATGAAAAAAAGCGTGCTTTCTAGAGACTTCGAATATTTCAGGGGACTTACTTTTGCTTACTTAGCGAGGGAAGGGCTCAAGCAGTACTTGAATTCGGCAAGTGAGGTGTCAGTCGTTTTAGCCACCTTAATACTTTACTTCTGATTTTACCTGCCTTTTCATCACTTTAGTCCCTAAACTACAATCGAGTTAGTCGTAATTTCTGCATGTACCATGACGGTGACGTATATCTATTCTAACGGAAATATACCGACATGTACACTACAAGAACAGAGGTAAAGTGACGAAAATAGAAAGCACAAATTACAAGGAAACTGTAAGACTGTAAAGGACAGGCACTTATCCTCAACTGACGTTTTAATTCAGAGAACAAAGGCGAAGATACCAAAAACCCCAATGTTAATATATATAAGAATGGAGCGGAAGGATCTAAAAAGACTGAGAATTAAAGAAAGATAAAGGCAATACTAAGAGTAAATATAAAAGGAAAATGTGTACATGATTAAACTAACAGTGTGAGAAATAAAAATAAAGAGTAAGGTACCAAAAAATTAAGAAAAATTAAGAAAAATGTGCATGTATAATTCTTGTGATGACAAAGTCACAGGTTGAGCACTGATGCAGGTGTGACGGAGTGTCTTCCCGACTCATTCTGTGCTGTGCGTGCGGGCACGTGTGTGTTTCTGTGTTCCACCGTGGCCTTCGCGCCAGGTTACGAAGAATCCTCGCTTCACGGCCAGCGGAAGAAAAATAATAATAAGAGGAGAAGTAAAAAAAGCGGCTAGCCATCGCAAGCCTTCGGACAGAGAAAGTGTTTGCAGTTGTCTGTGTCACGCATTTAACCTGAGTTGATATAAAACCACATGTGCCCGAACTAGTGCTGGGTACGGTTTCTCCTCGACGTTGGGTATGACAACAGTGTGTGTGCAACTCATAACAAGAGTCTTCACACAGGTCTCTCATTTGTTCGCAATGTCTTCAGCCTCAACATTCTCGCGAGTTCGTTTTCGGGACTTGCTTTCGGAATCCTTGAGCTGGACAGCAGCGGGTCGTATCCGCAGTCCCTCGCTTGTTTAGCAAGATGCCCCGACGGGGAAGACTTGAGTGGTAGCGCATGTTCGTTGAGCCTTACGTTGATACATGCGGGCGCCCTGCCCAAAAGGCAGAGCGCCCAAATTTAATCTACCGTTCATGAGATCTCGGCTAATGCTCCAGAAAATGACAGGCCCCGATGCATCGGGGGCTGCGTTAATTGATGTGTTACTCAAGGTGCGTACCAATCATGCAAGTGAAGTCAAACTATCAAGCATTGTGAGTAACTTTTATTATAAGAATTAAATCTGCTAATGTCCGACACAGAGGGAGGGTCCGCTGAGGCACCTCGGGATATCTGTCCAGAAGAGGCTGAGGTGGGCATAGGAAAAAAGTTCCACCACCTGCCTAACTTCAAATCGAAACTTGTCAAGGCTAAAGCTTTTCAACTATGCAACAATTTGAATTT